TCTGTGGAGAACAAAGGTTTATGATACTTACAGGTTTTGTTCATCCATTGCCAGAACTAAAAAGCTAATACTAGGCTATAAAGAAACTGACTTCAAAGTCACCAACACTAAACTTCCAACTTTTAATCTTGAATTAAAATCTACAAGTTGGAACGTTTGAGTTTGAATAGTAAAGGCACCGAGGCTGTAAAGGCAACTGAGTCTCTGCTGTAAAGGTGGGGTATTTAATGCCATATTTGTGTATGTGTTAGAACAAAATGTAAAAATCTCGGCGTTGAGCACAGACCTTATTTCGCTTTCAGCTGCATCTTCATGAGCGGGTTGAGTTCGCTCACTTGTCTGCAGGTGTAGAAACTCTCCATGATTCTGTTTGTATTTCACTGATGTTGAACTGTCCTTGCAGTGCATCTCTGTACGTGGTGAAAGTGCTGCGAGGAGCTCCGCCTGCCGACGCCAAAGAAGAGCAGGCAAACGACGTACGTTTACACACACTGATCCATCTGTCACCTCTTTAGGTCACTGGTAGTAAGTAAGACCATCAGTCAGTGGTCTAATAAGTTCCACAGATGGTCACTATGGTTGAGACATGTGAACAAACGTTTCCTCAACTTTACCGAATACGAAACCACACACAGGGGTTTTCTCCCAGCTTTTAGGTCACAGGGTAGGTCAGCAGACAGACAGCGATTAAATATTCACTCAGTATGCAGTTGTTACTGCATTATGTCCAGCTCTGCACCAAATAAACTCCAGGTCTGTCCCTGTATTTTACTGGGTCAGGAAGTGGGTCAGTCCTGGACAGGTTGGTCCCCTTTAAGACAGTGTTTGCCTCACACAGATTTCCTGTTTTCTTTTTTTGATAATTAATGTATTGGTTAAGTCATTTTATGAGCAAATTTGTTCAGTATTTGTGGTTACAGCTTCTTAAACGTGAGTATTTGCTGGTTTTCTTCGTCTTCTGGGTAGTAAACTGAAGGTTTTGGACTGTTGGTTTGACAAAATGAGACATTTGAAGGCGTCAACTTGGCCTCTGGGAAATTGTGATGGATATTTTGGATATTTTATAGACCCGCAATTAATTGAGAATATAATCGAGAAAAGTCAGAGTTTCACCAAAGTCAGTAGATGTCATTCCCTGGGGAACGTGACTAAAAAACCTCCTGGAAATCCATAGTTCAGTTTTTGAGATGTGGTGGACTGATGGCCACCGTAGAGCCACAAATATTGGCCTGTGGTCTCTGTACACACAGTTAGTTTTGGTTTTAGTGTCATGATGTGCTGTTTGTGAGTCCATTATGTGACTGATGGGGCCAGATTTATTTATTTATTTTATAAATACAAGAAAAGTAAACAGGATGATCCTTTAACATACAAAAACAAACATCTCACATTAAGACCCGAACAGTTCATTATAAATAAAATGTTCAATACACACTTGTAATAGTGTTTTATATTTTTTAATTATTTAATGTTCTTTATCTTTTATTCTAATCTTTCTGTGTGTGTGTGTGTGTGTGTGTGTGTGTGTGTGTGTGTGCGTGCAGTTGAGGTTCATGGGCAACGTGGACGTTGATCGGGTCTCTGCCGTCTTTAGAGAGGCTCTGAGCTCCTTCATGAGCAAGAGGAAGAGTCCTCTGACCGCTCAGATGTTCACAGACCTGTTCAACAGATTCCCGGTGAGTACAGCCGCACGCCAGGAGTCGGCTCAGGTCGCCATGGAAACAGGAGATGCTAATTTGAGCGAGAACTGATGCAGATTGTTTGTTGTTTTCAGGTTTTGTGTGTGAACCTGTTGGATGCAGCAGTGCAGCACATCACATCTGGGGTCAGAGTGCACCAACAGGTAAAGATTGACTCTCACTGTTTGGGTTCATTGTGCA